ATCTATCTATCTATCTATCTATCTATCTATCTATCTATCTATCTATCTATCTATCCATCTATCTCCCTCTCACCCTGATGGGTGGTGTAACTTTAAGCATGGCGATATCGTTCCCGGCGTTCTGAGAGAAGCCACTGTGTACGTAGAGGGTCTCCACTTTGAGCACACGCTCCAGCCCGTCGGTGGCCAGTCGGTCGTACTCTCCCACAATGGCCGACCAGGCGAACGGGTTACGGTTGCTGGAATAATGATGATAATGATGATGATGATGATGATGATGATGATGATGATGGTGGTGGTGGGGATTTTATTATTTTTTTAAAATGTTACTGATGAAGCTATACAACAAAACGAACGTATGATAATATATTTTTGAAATCCTACCAAGTCTCATATGCAGTATTTGGGACACCTGAATAGACATAAGAGTCTTGAACATCTGGCTCTCACTGGCAAAATTGAAGGCAAACGAGGCAGGGGTAGGCTCAGAGCAATCTACTTGGGGACCCTAAACAAATGGGTAACTGGGAAAGATCAGGGAAACGTAGCTTTTTTTTGAGAGCATCCGAGCAAAGGAATGAATGGAGAACCATGATCGTCGATGTCTGTCGCAGATCTGGCACTGGATGATGATGACCAAGTCTCAACCTTTTTTTATTCTCTGTTTACATGATGATGATGATGATGATGATGATGATGATGATGATGATGATAATAATAATGATAATGATCATCATCATAATGTGGATTTTAGGTGAAACAGAATGCGACAGGGGGGAAGAGGGAGAGGGAGAGGGAGAGGGAGAGGGAGAGGGAGAGGGAAAGAGAGAGAGAGAGAGAGAGAGAGAGAGAGAGAGAGAGGGTAGTGTGGGAAGGGTGGGTTGGGAGAAAGAGAAAGAAAGAATAAAACCAACAAGAAAAAAAGAAAGAGAGAAAGAAAGAAAGAGAGAGACAGAAAGAAAGAAAGAAAGAGAGAGAGAGAAAGAAAGAAAAAGAGAAAGACAGGAAGAGAGAGAGAAAGAAAGAAGTACCAACTCCTGGAAGCAGTGGGCGGCTGTGAGGATCCAGTCCGGGGCTACCAATATCCCACCACAGGTGTGTTGTTTGTGGGCTGTGTAGGAGCGGAGTGACACCTGGTGGGAGATACAGGAGCGAACAGGTGAGGTGAGGTGAGGTGAGGTGAGGTGAGAACAGGTGAGGTGAGGTGAGGTGAGGTGAGGTGAGGTGAGGTGAAGTGAGAACAGTTGAGGTGAGGTGAGAAGAGGTGAGGTGAG